TAAAGAGAAAAGCTTGTGATCTTGAGAATGTGATTTCCAAATTTACTTTGAGTAAAGAAAAATTTGATTCTATCTTAAAATCTCAAAGAAGTATTTATGACAAAGGGGGCATTGGATTTGATTATTATAAAAAGCAAAAGACTTTCAAGAATTCTGTTGTAAGAGCAAGTCAATCATATCATCCTAATGTTACTTGCTATTGTTGTGGTGCAAATGGAAACTTTGCCTATGTATGTCCTTTGAAGAGATTGATAGCTCAAGGTAAAGTGAAGCAAATTTGGGTTCCAAAAGGAACTTTAAGCACTAACTCTCATGAACCCAAGCAAATTTGGGTACCAAAAATCAAAACTTAATTTTGTTTTGTAGGTAAAGTCGATGGCAAAGTCAAAAGAAGAGTAAAGTTGATCTTGATAAAGACTTATGCCTCAACAAGAATGTTGGAGTGAAAGTGCAAAGAAAATTTGTTGTTGAATGCTCCACTCATGTGCTCAAATTGGTATTATTTATTTTATTGCATTTATTCATTGAGTATAATTACTTCAACAAGACTATTAATTATTTGTTTATGTGTGTTCACTCTTTGATATATATGCTTGTTGAATATGATATCACTTGATGTGATTATTAAAATTTATGCAAATTAATGAGCTTGGCATGTTAGATCCTAGTGCTTGATATGGCTTTTGAAGTTAATGTATTTGCTTATTAGAATTTATACATATTGATGACCTTAGTACGTGTACCTTGACTATATTCATGATATTTGATGATTCATACATTGATATATGACTAAATTTGCATTATTTAGTAGTTGATGTCCAATTTAAACTTAGTTAAATGAAGAAATATCAAATTAAGATGCATTGTCTTCAAAACAGCCCTAATCTTTTTGTTTGTCCCAATCAAGGCCAGTAGAGCCGGGTCAACCATTTTCACAGCCGGCTCAACCTAAAAACCCGAGAATCTTCTCTCTTTAAAGTTAAGCCGGCTCTTTTGCAGCTTTTTAAATCACTCGGGTTTCTCTCTCCTCACACAAACCAGCCCAGATCTATTTTAAACCCGCGACCTCTCCTCTCCCAAAACTCACCATTCACTCTCCCAAACACCAAAATCCCTCCAAATGTCCAAAGCCCATCCCTTAAACACTCAAATACCATCAAATCCTTACCTACCCAACACAAAACCTCAAGCTTTTCACTCCAATTTGTGTGGGATCTGCTGTGTTTTCTCTCTCATGGCTTCAAGGAGGGTTGGAAGTAAAAGGAAACAAGTGGGTAGTTCTAGCACCGGTGGTCAAGCTCAAGAAGAAGGTAACATCTCCCAATCAAATCTCTTTTTGGATACCCAAGCTTTTGCAAAGTATGAAATTATCAAGAATATGGCTATTTTATCTTGCAATTGTGTAAAATTCAGTTAATTTCCTCAAGGAGATATGTGTGTTGAACAAATTTTTAGGGAACTTGGGTGGAAGGATTATGTAGAAATAAAAGAGCCTGTGTACTATGAAGTTGTTAATCAATTTTATGTTAATTTGAAATCAAAAGGGAATAAATGCAAAACCATGGTTGCTGGGGTGTCATTTCAGTTTTTACCAAGGGATATTTGTGCTGTATTAGATATACCTGAAGCAGGAGATGATGAGTTTCAAGATGTAAATCATGCCTTAGCTAGAGCCAGAATTGCCCCCAATTGCACTAAAAATCAAATTAAAGTGGGGTCCTTTACACCAGAAAATAGAGCACTACAATAGATTATATCTCGCATTATAGCTCAGAGAAAGGGGTCAAAATCTTTTGTACTTGCTAGTGATCTTCCCTGATTCGACTATCTTAATGGAAAAAGGGTGAATCTTGGAAGATTCATTTTCCATAGCTTAATCAAGAATTACTCCTTTGATATGGGTCTTCCACATGGTGCATTGATTACTAGGCTAGTAAAAAGGAACAACATTGATTTTGAATCTGTTAAGCATAGGAAAATTAAAGCTGGGACCACTCTCACTAAAGCATCCTTTGAAAAAATGCAAGTTGTGTTTCGGAATGGTAGTTGGACGAAGAAAGGGGATCAAGCAATGGAACAGCAAGATGATGAAGAAGAAGGTGATAAGATCCAGAAATGGCAGAACAAGGGGAAGAAGAACATGAAGGTGACAGCCCAAGACCTTTTCAAGCTTCCATGCAAAGGACAAACCCCGAAACCATGGAGCTAATGATATCTGAGATGCGGCAGTTGCACATCGACTTTTATAGTTTCCGAACAGAAATGAGAGGAAGAATGAATAACATGGAAGGAAAGCTTGATCAGCTTGTTAACCATTTTTTTCCTCCACCCCCCACCTAGTGCCACCTAACTTGATATTTCTTTAGTTTGGCTAATCTTTAGGATTGACATCTTAGGGTTATGCGTTTTATGTTTTTATTTGACTATGGATATTTTTTGAACCTTTTTATCTTGTTTTATGAATGGAAATGGCATCACTTGTGTTATCATGCTTTGTGAATGGTTGTTTATGATTTTGATGATTATATGCTCTTATTGAGGGGGGGTTTACTGGTTGATGAGTGTATTCATGACTTTGGTTGTCTATGGTGCTATATTGATGATTATATTCATTACATATTCTTGATTCTTTAAAGGTTGATAGCATGAATTAAGGGGGAGTTTATTGCTTATGTTTATATACTTTTTGATGAATGACAAAAAGGGGGAGAAAGTGTGCTGAATTCTCATAATTTTCTAGAATGTCTTAATGCCTTAATGTTATTTTCTTGGTACTGAAATTTTGAGGTTAATATTGAAGTATATATGCTTTATGATCAAAGTGTTTTGTCATCATCAAAAAGGGGGAGATTGTTATACCTATGATTTTGATGATTACAAAACCCATTTGAGTGACTAATTGATTTATTTAAGTGTGTAGTTAAATTGCTAATATACTGCAAAGTAAGCAAAATGAGATTACATTAAAAAGGGCTCAAAAGGTAAGAATATGCAGAGAGCCGGCTTAAGAAAATTGCTGCCGGCTCTGGGAAGCAAAAATGTAGAAAGTCAGTTGCAGATTTTGTTGAGCCGGCTCTACAGGCAAGAAATTCAATTTCTGCTTTGCCGCGCACGAAAAATGGAAGCAGAGTCGGCTCCCACTTTGTAGCCGACTATGAGGGCGCATTTAATGCACAACGGTCGACTTATTTGAAGAACATTTAATGTATTTAAAGTCGGAGTTCCAAAGCCGACTCAAAGTTTTGCAGCTGGCTCTCGAGGAAAACAGAATGAGCTGCAAACCCGGATAGTCGGCTCTGGAAGTGTAAGCCGACTCTACAAAGTCGACTCTAGGAAGTCAAGCCGGCTCTCCTGACAATCCTGCAACTCGAGCTTTGCGTCCTGCAGAGCATTAAATAACCCCAACAGTTAGTAACGGCTATTTTCGACCATGAGGTTATAAATATGGTTGGTAAAAGATCTGAAGGAAGTTTAGAGAGCATTGTATTGAATATCTTTACCTACCAACTTGTGTTTTAACTTGAGATTTTGATATTTGAGAGATCTTTATTTGTAATCCTTTTCTTATTTTATTTGTGAGTAATCTTGGGGTGTGACTATTCCTTCAAGAGTGATTTGTAGAAAGGATTGTTTGGGTTTATCTTGTAAAGGGGTGAGATTTGAAAGAAACACCCTTATTCTTGTAAAAGGATTGAGTGGCTCCTTTAAGCCACCCTTATTGTTGTTAGTGGAGAGTGTGAAGGAAATCCTTGGTGAGTGAAGGAAATCCTTGGTGAGTGAAGGAAATCCTTGGTGAGTGAAGCCAGGGTAGAGGATTAGGCTCCAAGTGGTTGGACCAAACCTCTATAAATCATTGAGTAAGCTCTTCTTCTCTACTCTCTTTAATTTTGGTTTTGTGGTTGCAAAAATGGGAGAATTTTTGGAACTCCAATTCACCCCCCCTCTTGGAGTACATTGAGTCAACAGTATGTTATCTACATAAACTATGTAAAATCTTTTGATAGAAAAAAATACATTATCCATTCTTCTTTGAAATATTTGAGGTGTATTTTTTAATCCAAAAGGCGTCACGAACCACTCATAGTGTTTTGTAGGGGCACTAAAGGCTGTTAGTGGGATGCTTTCAAGAATTAGCTTAATTTGTTAAAATCATGATTTGTAGTCAAACTTTAAATATATCTTCTTTCCCTTAGTGCTATTGATTAGAATTTCTTTATGTGGTAAAAAGTAACCGTCAAATTTTGTCTTGCTATTAAGTTATTTGTAGTTGACAACCATTTTAGCTTTTCCTTTTTTTAATTCACTATGATATCTTACAATAAAAGTGGGACTACAATGCGGACTCCTAAAGGCTTGTATAATCTTCTGGGCCATTAGTTCTTGAATTTGCTTATCAAATTCCTCTTTATCTTTAAAGCTATACCTCATTGGTTTGACTCTAATAATAGTTTTTGGGTCTATCTATTTGATTGTGGCATAATTGTAGGATCTTCTCCATAATTACTTCTTAGTTCTTTTGAGATAGATTCTAGAGTTATTTCATTTTATGTTTTTTCATTATTCCACAATGCTAACACTGGTTTCTAATCTCTTTTAATCAAGTTTTTCTATTATTCTCACCACATTGGCCGCAAAAATTTAATGGTTTTATTACTCTAGTATAAACATTATAAATTCTAGAGGCATAGAGCCAATGTCCATAAGATGTATAAAATTTTACATATGATGTAATTTGAATATACTGCTTGAATTGACTTAGGAAATTGTTTCCTAATAAAATGTTATTCCCATGTTTATTACTTTTGTAGGCTTAGAGAATTATAATTTCAGTACCATCAATTACGACAGTAACTCTTTCTATTATTGTTTTATATTAAATAATACTTCCATCTATAAATACACCTTTTATAGTTTGAGAGGTGTTCTTCCAATAATACTTTAGGAATACCTTGGTTTTGGCCAAACATATCCTAGATCTTGTGTCTATAAAATCATGAAAGAATTATATTTTGTATTCTTCATACTTAATCCCAATGGATATGTATCCACTATAGATACTAGTTTTCATAGTATCTTGGTATAACTACTTTTCCACTTAAGGTAATCTTCAAGCATGTTCTTGGATGTTATAAGGCTATACTGATGTTAAGAATGTGTTTCCTAACATCAATTCTATACTTGCAATCATTTCTATTTCAGTATGAGCTGTTATAGCGATTTCATGTTGAATCTTATTCTTATCCTTTATTCGAAGTGGTACTTGAGCATATTCATGCATTGTAGTCACTGCACCATTACAGTTGTAAATGTATATGGCTTAGTGAGTTCAAATCTTTGTAGGTGTGGAATCGTATCACTATGGATATGTGTTACTCCTACTCCTGTATCTATTATGATAAAAATGTTATCCCATTCTTTCCCATCATAATAGTCTCCTTTTATTTTAAAATGTATAAAAAAAAATTTTACAGTGTCTAACACCACCTCATGTTTTATACTAGTCATTCTAGTTAAGACCTCTTTATCTTTCTTAGGATAGCACAAAGCTCCTAAGTCTATACTATTTCTATGGCTTGGTTCAAGTTCTATTTTGACTTATATGCCATTAGTTTAGGCTTTCTCTTATTAGGAGTGGTTTTTCACTAATGTTTATTTCCTATTCTTTAGATTGTTCTATTTCAATGATCATTTCTGATTTTTGAATTTATCTTATTTCATAGAATATAAGATCTAATTCAATATATTCTTTATCTTTAAAAAGATTAGATTGATGACTATTAGTCAATGCATAACTTATCATATAGTAAATACTATATGGCATTGATCCATCTTTCATAAAGTTTTCTCTAACAAATTCATGTGCTAAGCTTAAAGTTTTATTGATATTTCTATCATTAATATCTATAGTGTATTTTGGATATACTGTAAACATAAGTTTTTGGTAACTAAGGTTACCTTGCAATAATCCAAGGATGGCATCCTTTCTATCATTGATTCTATTATCTATTGAAGTTAATTTTATTGAGGTGTCTATTCCTTTCCTAAAATAATCCTTAATAAGTATTTATGCTCCTCCAATGTGGATAAAACCTATCTTTAATCTATCAGCTTCTTTAATTTTTAACAGTTTGTTTTCTATTTCTACTTTAATAATCAAAGGTATATTTATTATTCTTGTTGAATTCCTTATAGGAATGCTATATTCTTTAGTAGATATTCCATAATAAACTATATCTTTCCTCTTAAAAGGATTATTTATAAAGGAATTAGACTTAAATCCTTTTTCTAAAGTAAGGTCCATTCCCTTTTGTCTAATTCTTTTATATTTACTTTTATTGAATACAGTTATTTGATTTTATCCTCCATGTCTTTCTTACTCTTCAAAATAAGCTTCTCCTTCTTCAATATTCTAATTCATCACTATTACAGGTATTGATGCACTAAAATCACCCTTGCAAGTATACTAATCGCTCTAAGTAATATAATGATGAATAGAGTGTCGAACTCACGAGGATTGTGTCTAATTAAATACCAAAATAATTAATCTAAATTTATTTAAACAGTTAAAAAGGAGAATAAACTTTAATAAAAATAATAAAAAGAGAAAATAGCAATTAAAACAAAGTTAATCAAGATATGGAGTACTAAGGCATTGATTTCATCATAATCAATCAATATAAATTCTGGATTATCAAATTATTTAGTGTTATTGCATGTGATGATGGATTTCCCTAAATTAATTAACTAGCTTTTTCAAGTCAAGTTAATCCTTCACTTGTTTGTTAAATTATATTTCTATATAATTTTAAACAAACTATTGGATATTAAATTCTATGAAAACAGAAAGGGGAGCTCCTAACTCTCTTTTCTTCCTCAACTACCTCATATGAGCTAATTACCTCTCGATCTCATAGTTTATATTATTATTGATCTAACTTACGCAATTCTTTCTGAAATTCATACATAAATCACTAAATCAACCAAAATGTGATCAGGCTTTCAATGCATTAAATTCAATAATATAAACTCCTCATGCAAATAACTTTAATTGAAAATATAAAATCATAAAATCTATATTGAATTGATTAGATTACATCATAACTTTAGTAAAATAAATTAGTTCATAATAAAAATAATAAAATCTGAAATTACAGTTATGAACATAAGAATATCTAAAGAAAAACAAAACCTAATTTAAGGTAATTGAAATCCTTGATTTTTTTTTGTTGATGAATCCTTTATCTTAACCTCCAAGAGTGTCCAAAAAATGGCTGCTACTAACCTCAACCAAGG